TGGCATCCTGGGAGGGAGCACAGATGGAAGCCTGGAAGAACACAGAGTGAATCCTTCTATCAAAATGACCAGCAGCTGATGCTGTTCCTTGGGGTTCCAAGCCCTCCAAACAAAAAAAAGAGAATCAGGCGAGGGACAAGAGCCCGGTACTGCTCAGCGGAAACAAAAGTTCAGAGATATTTGGCAAGCCTCCCTCTTCCCAAATGATTCCCAGATGATGGTAAATTTGGAAAGCGGTCAGTGTTGAAATTGAGGTACGTGGGATTGGCTGCAGAGCCTGACTGCTCCCCTCTCTTCACAACATGTGATAGTGAAAAACACAGTGTTGGGGGACTAGTGCTCACCCCTTGCTCTTAAGTCCAATTAAAGAACCTTATCCCAGGCAGGTAGGGCTTTACTATATAGCCTGGAAGACGACCCACTTTCAAATCCCAGCTCTGCCACTCACTGGTCAGGTGAACCTATGGGCACTACTCAATTTTTCTGTGTCTTCATTTCCTCATCTGTAAAATGAAGGTAATATTAATAATAGTTCCTACTTTCTAAGTTGTCATGAGGATTTACCTAGTCCCTGACTCATTATTAGTATTCAACAAATGTCAGCTAGTTTCTAGGGCTAATGGTTACTGGGATAAAGATCTTAAAATATAGAGCTTTTCTACCCTCACTGCAATTCAACATCCTGGGGCCTTTATTATGAAGAAATCCTCCCTTAATTTAAAAGCCCTTGGGGCACCTGGGTGGCTCAGTTGGTTAAGTATCCAACTCTTGATTTCAGTCATGATCTCAGGGTTGTGAGACTGAGCTCGTGTCAGGCTCCACACTCAGCGGGGAGTCTACTGGAGATTCTCTCCCCCTGCCCCTCCCACCCACATAATAAATAAATAAATCTTTTTTAAAAATAAAGGGCCTCAAAAAGCTTGCTAGACAATCAGTCATTCAGATCAATCCAGGACTAATACATTGGATAAACCCACATATTACACAACTAAAAACTATATCAAAGATCTGCCCCAGGTTGTGTACGCTGAAGAGCATTTCTTTGCTCACCTAAACTGCTGGTTGTGGAAGTTCCTTCCCAAAGGCAAATTTACTAAGATTGGATGTGAAGGTTTAGAAACATAATGTCTACACTTTTAAAGAAGTTGCTCCATCAATAGCTGAAATGCCAAGTAATTCCCCATGATCCATGCTAGGACAAACACTTACTGTAAGATTAATTAGTATGGCTCATTGTATTTTCTAAAGATGGCCACAACAATATGTGGGTATTTCTCCCATCAGGAGATGGGCTTTGTGTTCCCTCCCACTGAATCTGGAAGGGCTTGAGAAGAATGTCATATGACTTCAAGGCTAATCATATAAGACAGTATGGCTTCCTCCTAGTTTTCTCTGGGATGTTCATTCTTGAAACCCAGCCACCAAGCTGTGAGTAAAACCAAGCAGAACATAGAGGGGCCATGTATAGGTTTCCACCCAGCAGTCCCAGCTGAGGTCCCAGACAATAACTGCCATCAATTCCCAGACATGTAACTAAGCAATCATTCAGATGTTTCCAGCTCCAGAGGCTGACTCATTTCCAGCCTTTGTGTCTTCCCAACTAAGCGCCCAGATATCATGGAGCAAGACAAATCATCCCACTGTGACCTTTTGGACCTACGAAATCTGTGAGCATAAGAAAATGGTTGTCATTTTATGCCACTAAGTTGGGGGATCACTGGTTACATGGCAATAATAACTGGAACAGCTAGCAAGCATGGTTGTCTCACATTTAAGCAGATTAGGCTTTAATGTCTGTAAGATAGCTCCTACTTTGCTTAAATCTTGAATTCCACAATAGGATACTTATTTTTTGGGTTTAAAATATTGTCCCTTTTGAAACATAGAGTTGAGTATAGGCATCAGCCCAGTGTCCCAATTCAGGAGCTATCAACTATTAATGGTATGACTTTGAGAAAAGCACTTAATATGTGGGTCTTATGCTGCATCCCTTCCCTCCAAATCCAATCTCTGTTCTTCCCCCACTCCCCAACCTGGTGTCTCAGGAGATTAACTTTATGAATTACATCAGTGAGCTAGCTTCCCGTTAGATGTGACAGTTGGGAGGCACTAGCAGGAGACTCAGAAGCAGCAGGAGAATGAAGTTGAGGTATTTAGTCCTGCAAAGGAAAAACATTCTATTTCTCCTCTCAACACTCTATTCTCAATAGTTCTGGTCATCAAATGTGTGGAGAGGTTTTCCCACTCCAAGCAATTCTCAGACACCAGTTGGGTGCCCTACAATTTACCTCAATTCTGACACTTTTTACCTGAAGGGAGCATCAGATCCCACAGGTTGAAGGCTGTCCTACAAGACTGCCCCCACTTCAGATGCCAATTGCAAGTCCAGGTTGTCCCCTGGCTATGAATTGAAAGTCCCTACGACCCCTCCCTAGGTTCAATCATTTGCTGGAACGGCTCACAGAACTGAGGACAACAGTTTACTCACTAGATTACCAATTTATCATAAAGGAATACAACTCAGGAACAGCTAGATGTAAGAGATGCATGGGGCAAGGTATATAGGAAGAGGTATGGAGCTTCCATGCCCTCTCCAGGCACACCACCTTCTTAGCATCTCCACATGTTCACCAATCTGGAAGCTCTCCAAACTCCATAGTTTATACAGCCTTCATGACATAGTCATGATTGATCAAATTATTGGTCTTTGGTGATTGAACTCAACCTCCATCCTCTCTACCCTCCCCAAAGGTTGAGGAATAAAGACTGAAAGTTCCAACCTTCTAATCACATGGTCAGTTCCCCTGGCATCCAGCTCCCATCCTTAGGGGCTTTCCAAAAGTCGCCTCATTAATATAAACTGTGGTTGAAAGGGTCTTGTTATGGATAACAAATGTCACACTTATTGCTCTTATCACCTGGGAAGTTCCAAGGAATGGGGATGAAGATGACATACATATTTCTTATTATAAATCACAATATCACAATTCCTCTCTCCCTGTCTATGGGGTGGCCAAAGTCTGGCAGCATCTCTCAGCTAGAGGTCAAGCTCCTCTGAGGCAGTGTTCCTTACCCTGTTCTTTCTCGGTCCCTCTTCTTCTTCCTCTCCCTCCCCCCAATCACCACCTCCCTCGCTCTGTCTATCTCACTGGGTTTATAAATGCTCCCTTCCCAGCCCCCTCAGGCTTTGTGTTAAGGAAAGCACCGCTCTCCTAGTTCTGATGACTTCCCTACACCCTCCCCACATATTTGCAAATAATTCCCCCAATTGCTCAATCACGCCTTCTGTTTCCTCTGGAGACCCTGACTGATAAAGAGTTCCTGATTCTTCATTGTCAGAAAAAAGTCCACCCATCCAGCCTAATCCCAGATCAGGCAAGATAATCAGCCAAGCGCAGTCTCAGTCAGGACCAGTGACAAAAAGAGAAAGCACGCTGAGCATTTCAAAGAGAAGGGATTTGTAGAAGGAATTGGTGACACCACAGCAGAACATTGAAAGAGCAAAAAGAGGATATTTAGTAACTCAAGTTATCAGTAACTGCAGGGCTGGTAGAACCAGCAGAGGAGGTGGTGTTTCTAGGAACCGAGTGTTCCAAGGGGGAGCCTCTGCATGGTTAATGCTCAGTTCCCTAAAGGGGGCACTGTGGGACTGGTGCTAACATCCGGCTTCCTGGTTGGTGCGGAGTCTGGCTAATGCTGTCCCCTCCTCAGAGGGATGGTAACAAGAATACAAACAGGAAGGAGTTTCCCTCAGCCCTCACCTTCTTTTACTCTCCCAAATTTGCCTCCCATGGGCAGAATCTAACACAAAGCCTGCTGGCATAAGCACCTTAAGACCTGAGCCTGAAATTTCCCAGCCCAACATCAACAATCAGAGTATGAAATGTGGAGCTTAAGACAGAAGACACCAGGTAAATAACCAATACCTGTGGGCACCATAAAAACAGTCTGTACTGTAGTTATTATTGTTACCCATAACTGAGAAAATTTAAATAGATAGCCATGCCTCAGAATGAATTTTTCCCAGTTCTTCTCCCCAGAGCAGGTTTAATAAAAGCTATGATATTTCAGGCCATGATTTCCGAGCTTACCAAGGTTTTAAATGCTCTATCTACCCTGTGCTTCCCCCCAAACATCAAAATGCCCCATAAATTACAACCAAATCTCCCAGACTCCTTTTATAACTAGAGCAGCAGTACATAAATTCTTTTCTCACACCATAAATGCCAATGATGGTCTCAGAAAAGCTGAGTGCCACCAAGCCTCCGCAATGCCTAGAGCATGGTGATGTCTTGGGGGAAGCACAGGGTAGATTGACCAAGGCCAGCCAAAACATGGTCACCAGCTAGTATGCTCCCCCTCCGACTCCCTCAAGAGCTGACCGCCAGGAGTTCTCCCAACACACCACCTCCACATGTTGACAAGTAAAGCCCTTGGCCCAGCACCCCCAAAGCTGGAGACCTATAAAAATTTCATTTCTGCAGGTATCAAACTCCTGCATTAGTGTAATGGTTTTTCAGCTATTTTTATCAATGTATGCTTTTCTGTTTTATTTTTATGAACACACTCTGACATAGAACCCCAAATATAAATAAAATAGATACAGCTGGTTCTGCATTCGTTGAAATGGGAGGCCCCAGAAACTGGCCTGTTGTAGCTGTTGCCCCCACACCTTCCCCTAGAGTTTCCTGGGTCTCTGAGGAGCCCCGTTTGAGTGCTCTAGAACCATAGCAGTCTTGGTAAAGTTTAGTAACATTTGACATTCTTTAACATAGCTATAAAAGTAGCTTATGTGTATAAATGTTCTCAATATTCACAGTATCAGAGGCTCTCTTCTCACCACATTTATACTATAATCCTACATAGAAATTCTTCCAGTTTCCCCTAAGATACCCTCTTCTTGTCACACACAAAACCCTAAAACCCCACCACACAACACATGTGTTGACATCACAGCTTTCCCAAAGATCTCCAGACTCAAGTAAAATGGCAAAAAATAATAATAATAATAATAAACGTTGTATTTGGGGAATGTATTTGTGACACAGCCTCGCCAGCTTCAGGAGAGTTCAGGGGCTGTTCTGCTCCTTAGTTTTCTGCAGCCAACAGGGAACATGGTGAAGAGAACAATGCTGGATGACACATCAGCCCACTTGGACTATATGGTGTTGGTATTCTGCTTGAGGTAGTCCATGTATTTCTTCTGGAATGTGCTGCTGTACAAAACCCATGATGGGATCAGCCTCAGGAAGCTCCGCTTAAATAGACAAAAACATGAGTGTTTGGGGAAGAAAGAAGAGCAAGCAAGTTAGAAGGAAACAGCTCAGTGTATAATCATCATCTTTAAAAATATTTTTCTGACTGCTGAAAGTCAGTCTCAAAATCTTTTAAGTGCATGCTAAAATGTAAAGGTCTTATGACACTTTCTCAGTAAACAAAGTTTTCTCAGAAACCGAAACAGTCACTTGTAGAATCAGCCCCAAGGAAGTTCTAAATTAAGAGAACTGTGCCCCGAGTAACACCCTACCCCCCTTTCTCCTTCTCTTAGCAAGCACTTCCTCTTCCTACTGTTCAATCTCCCAGTGTCTTCATGTTCTTTTTACCAAGGTTCTACTAAAATGAGATTCCAGAAAACAACCAGAAATGCTTTTACCACCTGGCACAATGCCTGAGGCATAGTAGGCACTAAGCAAATACACAAATGCATCGATGAGTTCATGAACAAAAGTCAGACACAGCAAAGTATAAATCACTAACATTGAACATTTACTTGGAAAAGTGGCAGGGGGGCATGGAGGGGGGCTTCAAGTCAAGGCATGAATGCTTAGTTGGATGCACATCAGGCAGTAGGCACAGGCGTTGGAAGAACTTTTGCCCTCAAATCATACCCATGTCCTGTAAGACAAGTCCAGAACCCAGAAGCAGTCATTCTGCCCACAGTGTAATCCTGTGCATCCAACATTCCTCAACCTACCTACTCCCCACCGAACAACAGGATTTCAACCAGAGGAAAATGTGAGCTTTTCAGGGAGTGTTCCTATTCTTCAGACAGCTCAGATTCTCAGACTTTTGCACTCACTGAGATATTTCAAAGCAGGGGACCGAAGATGGCTTCTGGGGAAACAAAATAGAACCCTTCATCCACTAGCCAAGTCAATGAGTGAATGCAAATTTTTCCTTAGGAACTTCATTTTTCTCTTTAGAGCTTTTTAATGTCACAGCAAAATCAAGCCCTTTCATTAGCTTTGCCTTAAACTAAATGCTTTGGCTTAGTGAAGTCAGCCAAATTAAAGTTCCAGGTCCCTAGAAAATGTTCTAAAAGTCTCTGCTTCTGCCTCCATTGTTGTCTACCTCCTCCCAACCTAGAAGGATGGTTTAGAAGAAACCAGGGAAAGCATGGCATTGGATAAAGGTGGACTTAAACCCCAGTTTCACCATTACCAGCCAAGTGGCCTTGGACATCTGATCTAGCTCTGAATTTCAGTTTCCAACTGTAAAACAGGAATCAAATGATCTGTCTTACAAGATGATTAGGAGAATTAAGTGAAGTAACCCCCCTGTACCACATGGACTCTACATTAGAGGCTCTATTCCAGCCCTAGTTCCTGCCCTAAAACTCCTTGGGAGTGAAGAGCATGTGGTCTTTACCTTGCCTTTTTCTAATAGAAGGTTTGCTTATTTACCAGTCAATTCTACTTGATTGCTCAAACTTTAGAGTCAATGATTTTTCTAAATTCCAGCAAACGCCAAATTGGCCTTAAGGGCTTTAATGATTTATATATTCTCCTTTATCTTCTCTTTTGCTTCAACAGGCACAAAGACTCTTTTGCCTAGTCTGTTCTTGGCATTTATTTGCCAGAAGAGATTTGATTTGTTACACAAGAAATCAAAAGAGAAAAGCCCCCAAAAAATGTTTTTTCAACTTTTGACATCTAGAATTGCATTGTGTAGCAAGACGATAACATTGCAAGCCAGGCTATGGTCTCAAGACTGATGCTGATGGGTTCCATATAAGACATCAACATCCCAAAGGATGTGTATCCTTCTATATGTGGACCTAGGCTGGGTGGAGGGCTGGGGGACCAGGGGATTCAGGTGAAGAATATGAACATGTGATAAATAAGTAAGGGGGGCACTGAGGGCAAAGGAGGAGATATTGCCCCCATCCTTCAGGAGTGCAACCACAGAACACTATCTCAGCATGGCAAGAGAGGTGCTGACATTCGGTTTTCCAGCATCAGTCAAGTCCATGTTGGTGCTGATACAGAAGTGAGAGCCAAAGGGCCTTTATGAACCAAAGATCCAGATGGACCATAGGCCTATGACTGCATGGGGGGAGTAGCAGAGATTCAGGGCTCTGCAGTGCTCAGTAGGTGGGAGTTCACTGGCCAAGCCGAAAGGGTCATTGCTCCCCAGAACCATAAATCAGCAAGGTGCACAACCACCAGGTAGATATGGGACAAAGCCACACACACTTAAGGACCAGCAGGAGATCATGAAGATTCTTCTCCCTGATATCATCTTAGTGAGAGAGGCAGGAGAAAGGGATGCTCCCAGAAAGACTGAATTCTTTAAATAATTAACAGAGAGCCAATTTCCTAAATATCCAGTTTAGGTTACTAGATCAAACTAAATTTAAACTCATTGGACATTCCACTAATTTGTTCTCCTGCCATGCAGCAAGTAGTAATCTGGAGAAAGACCAGATCAGCAATAGGCAAAATCAAGATCTTATATTCTTTCTGTATGTCCACTTTGTAGTATGTGTTAAATTGGTTATTCTGCACATTGTTGAGGCTCTACAGTGGAAGTTGCAAATGATCCTTTAAGACAATTCAATATCTTTCTAGAGTCTCCAGAAGTCCCAGTGGGTAACAGAATGCTTGGGAAGATATAGTGTATTCCTTCTAGCACCTAAGAGAAAAAGAGAGTAGGGAGAAACCTAATTCCCATGACAGAAAAGCACATGAGGCAGAGGAGAAAGTTGACATATGAAGGGAAAGTAAAGATCTGCCTAAAATTTTTTGGTGACACTGGAAACAGAACCACCCTGGCACTATGTGTTCAGTATCAGTGTGCAAAAGTTAAGTCTACCTTTGTTTCATGTTTGTGTTTGCTTCTAAAAGCAGCCCAGGGATGGTAAGAACTCCTCATACCATATGCCACTGACTGAATCTTACTTCCAGTTTCAACGGAGTCCATGTTGTGCTAGAACCAACTTGTACTTGCTCTCAAGAGCCAATTATACACATTACTAAATTCAGGGGCAGTGACAACACAATGGGAGCTTTAAATCAGCCATGGGGCGGGGGGGGGTGGTTATTTAAGCCATGGTAATCAGCAAACCCTACAAACCGAAGTGTTTGGGGTTTTTTCCTGGATAGGCAGATATTAAAACATTTCTTAACACAGGGAGCCAGAGAAGACAGCAGCACCCAGTCCCACCCAGGGATGATCCCTGTGTCTTGGTCTGCCCTCCCCGAGAGCTCAGGAAGCCACCTTACTTTCTGAGGAAAGAGGTGAGGGTATTTGCCAATGTGGGGGTTATCTCTGGGCTGAGCCCCCAGGCCCCCAGCCTCCCGCCTTTGCCACATATGCTCTTTCACACGGCTGTGTGACAACTTAGCAGCATGGCCTCTGGCAGCATGATCCTTGCCGTGAGAGGACAGGGTTGGTTGTTCCAATAGCAAAGAAGAACTCTGCTGGGACTGCCCACACACCTGCCTCTGGAGCTTTGAGAAAGAAATTGTCAGTTACCAAGAGTTCATGGGTGAGGCAACCACAGGTTTCATCTCCAATCGTGATGTAATTCAGTGATTCCTTAACAAAGTCATCGGCGGTCTTGGTTACCATGTTGGTGTGTAGATACTTCGTCATTGGGGTGGAAACAGCATATGGAGTCAGCACCTACAATGGGGAATAAGGGCCATAACACGGGAGCAATCTGCCCGCCCCTGAGAAGTGAACCCCTATTCTAGCCCTCCCTTCATTTGCCAACTTGTAAGAAGTTGGCATTCTTCTGTAAGAAGCCTCAGGATCTCCCCTGATGATGGAGCACTGGAAAGGCATAGAGCTGGCACAGAACTGTGACTCAGAAAAACTGGTTTCTTGTTTAACTTTATCACTAACTCAAGCTGAGGCCTTAGCCACACAACGTCACCTGGTTCAAATGTACACAAGGTGACTGAGGACATGAATTATCTCTTAGAACATGGTGGCTGGACCAGCAATAAAAACACAGGACAGGGTGCCTGGGTGGCTCAGTTGGTTAAGCGACTGCCTTCGGCTCAGGTCATGATCCTGGAGTCCCAGGATCGAGTCCCGCATCGGGCTCCCTGCTCAGCAGGGAGTCTGCTTCTCCCTCTGACCCTCTTCCCTCTCGTGCTCTCTATCTCATTCTCTCTCTCAAATAAATAAATAAAATCTTTAAAAAAAAAAAAAAAAAAACACAGGACAGTTAAATTTGAAAGCCAGACAAACAAGAAAAAAAATTTCAGTATAATATGTCCCAAGTATTGCATGGGGTATACTTATACTAAAAAAAATAAAAGTTATTATCTGAAATTCAAATTGAACTGGATGTCCTGTATTTTATGTGGCACCCTTATGCAAGAGGCTTATTTCTAACACATACGGCCAAAGTTGGAGCAATTTAAAGTTGTTTGGATTCCCACTTTCACACTTCAGTTACAAGCCAGGAGTGACACATGCCTGATCATCTTTCCTGTCGTGATAAGAAAAATAAACAACCACACACTGTGGCCTACAAAGCCGACACCATCAGTATGTACAGCAATCATTTTAAAGATTTAACTGTGAGTGTGCCTTTTTCATTTCTAATAGTAGGTTATAAAACTTCTTCCCAAACAATGACAAAATTTCTGCAAATTGTTTATTCCAGGTTCCAGAAAGCACTTAACTCTAACTATGTTGCTGAACCAAGCCCACGCCTGTCCCTGACACCTCAAGACTACAGATGGCTGTGACAACCCAGTTCTGTTGACAGCTGGGATAGGGTCATCTCGATGGTTCTGCCATGGCTGGTGAAAGAGGAAGCCAAGGACCTCTTCCCCAGCTGCTCAAGAACCACAGTGTGGGGATCTTTGTGGCCCATCACAGATGAACAGCTCCCAAAGTACCCCCAGCCCCCGCTCCCTGCCTCATTTTGTTTCTTCTCCACAATTCCTCCCACCTAAGCCTGTCTCCTGTACCTGGGTCAGAGAGTCAAGGGTGGTTAGACAAGACCCCAGTTTCTGTCTTGATGCAGTGCTCACTCACAGCACCGCCTCCTGCAGGGCATGCATGAGGGAGCAGCAGGCCGAACTAGGGTGGCTCAGTTGCCACTGTGAGGGTCACGGGAACTCCCATGGTGTCATCCAGACCCTCCCCCCTGGCCGTGCATGCACAGCTGGTCCTGCATGGGGCAGTGGCCCCAGCCCCATGGGGCACCGCCGTTCCTCATCCCAAGGACCCAGAGCTGTTGACCTCACCTGGATAATGATTCCTTTCCTTTTATATTCGGCTTGCAGTGCCTTGGAAAACATGCACACAAAAGCCTGGAGCAAGAAGGAGAAAACACCTATGGGGAGAGCTTGCTTTGTCATGGAGGCACCTTTTTCAGATTTCAAAGGGCACTGCAGGGAGCCTACTTGCTTGCCCTTAAAATGCAGCAGTTTGTCTGATGGGAGTTAGGACTTTGTTTCTTGGCCTGGAAAAAGCCCCCTCAATGAGCAAGAACATACATTTTGGGATAAATACATGCCAAGGGCCACTGCATATGGATGACCCTACCCAGGGAGAGCTCTCCCTTGTCTCTCTGCCTGGGAACACCCCCACCCCCAAGGGTTTGTTTTTAGGACTAGGGCATGGGGACACCTGGCCAGGCCCCCAGGACAGAAGAAAGTTCCAGTGTTACTTGCTGGCAGCAAGAGAACAGGGCTCCAGGCAAGGAGGTGAGTGGGGCCCAGAGTCCCATGGGGGCTGCGCTTATCCCACTGCAGGGCTCCATCCGCCCCGGGGCCATGGCTTTTTCTAATTTGTACCCAGACATCTGCTGGCCAGCCCTGTACATAGAATCCCCCTGGACACTTTTCCTCCAGGCCAATACATCCATCAGCTTGCCAGATGATCTGAAGTCTAGAGGAAAATGCCAAGTGGGAGAAACAAGATGAAGGAGAAGGAAGCTTGGGCTCCATGCTATCACTCACCTTGGAGGCCGAATACATGGAGTAGAGAGGCCAGGGAAAGAGGGCCACCCCAGAAGAAATGTTCAAGATAAGGCCTTTCTGCCTAAAACACAAAGAAATAGAGTTCTGAATAGTTTGCTGCCTGATGACCCACACCCTGAGAGGAAAGAAAGCGAAGGGACTCCTGTGACTTTCACTGGGAAATTCCATCCTCTCTAGACTTCCATGTGCATGGCGAGTTCTGCTCCCAGAACAGTGAGTGGTGCATCCCCACGGCCTGGATCACAACACCAAAGAGTGGTGCCACCCAGCAGACAGTTGACATCAAGGGCTGGTGACTGGAAACAGGGGTTCTGCTACAACAAAGATCCCCCAGCAAAATGCCAAGGACCAACTCAGCTCAACCAGTCTTATCAAGGGGGAAGGAACCCTTCTTTCTCAAATGTGACCCCACGAGCTCAAGGTCCCTTTTAAACCCTAAAGAGGACCCACACCAGGACAGATGTCAAATGCAGAATCCTGTCTTGAGTGGAATTTGACAGTCCATCATCTGCTCACACAGGAACCCACACACCAGTCTCCAGGGTCCTTACTTAATCTTTTTGAAATTGGGTAATTTTAATCCTTCTCAAATAGATGGGTTCAATCCAGGAAAAACCAAGGAACTGCAAATTAGACTATAAGGCCAAGCCCCTCTTCCCCTACGGAAGATAAAACTATCAACCATTTGCATTTAATGAATACCATGTGAGAAAAGCCAGTTCTCTAAGGGCTGTTGTAATAGGATAATAAAACCATGGACTAAATAGAAACACCGAGAGGTGGTGATTTTTACCACTAAGTTTGGGTAATAGCAAGAGACGGCCTTGATCTCAGGCCAACCTCTGAAGTTTCTTTTATGTTCAACATGAGTTAATATTTTTAATATAATGTGTGCTGAAATGGCTGTTCTCTTCCTCCAGTAGATGCTACACTTGACTTTCAAATATGCTTATCTGTTTGCAAAGCTGGCCTGGTCCAGAATGTTACATTTTCTTCTGCAATCTCCATGTCCTTCATCACAGTTTTACCATTGGTTAAAGCTGCAGCCAGATGAACCCTATCTGCCCACCACCTTCACCACGCCCCCAGTCCCCAGGTCAGCTAACTGCCAGGCCAGGGAGGCCATGCCGTTCTGTGCTTTTTCCAAAAAAAAAAGACCTTGGGGCGCCTGGATGGCTCAATCGTTAAGTGTCTGCCTTTGGCTCAGGTCATGATCCCAGGGTCCTGGGATCGAGCCCTGCATCTGGCTCCCTGCTTCTCCCTCTCCCTCTCCCCCTGCTTGTGTTCCCTCTCTCACTGTGTCTATCTCTGTCAAATAAATAAATAAATAAAATCTTTAAAAACAAAAACAAAAACAAAGACCTTACCTTGATTCCATCTGTTTCAGAATTAGCTGTGTCATCTATAAGAGAAGGGATAAAGTTAAGCCCTCTTGACAAAGGAGTGGAGTATCCAGGGGGTGGGGGCTTAAGGAAGCAGGTGCTGGAGGAAGCCAGAAAATGAGCTTAATCTCTCAGGTGGCCTTGAAAATCTGCTGGCACTCGTTGGAGGTAATTCTGGCAACACTAGAGTCTGACTAAAACCCACAGAAGGCAACCTAGATGAAGAGCAAATGGTTAGAGGTCTCTGATTTCTTCCCCATAAAGCTAAAGTCTTCCTGGAAAATGTAGGCAGTGAAAAACTATGGAAATTGGCTTCTGGCCATGAGATCAACACTGAGGTTCCCCAGATACTCGTCATTCTGGCATAAGTAGGTTGGCCATCATACAGGCTTAAGTAGGTTGGCCATCATAAACCTCACTCATGAGTTAGAAGTGAGGGGACCTCAGGAAACCTAACCAGTGTCCATGAACAATTCACATACAAGACACAAGCTAGAGGACATCTCAATCCAACAGCAGCCACATAAGCAGCTTGCAGGTGGTCTCTGAAATAGCTCCATAGGTGGACCATGTCTGTCTGTCCATTGGAATTACAGCAGTGTTGAGAAGTCCTTTCCCTGTCCCAACTTGCTGGCCCTGGAAGAGGTCTTCCTGACCAGTTCTGGAACTTAAATAGCCCATTAAAAGAGCTTTTCACTTCATAATTACAAGCCACCCCTTTTAAGAATTAAGGAAGAGGCAAACCCACAGGCTGAAATGTTCTCAAAAGTACAATTGAGTGGCATCAGAAGCAGGGGCAGGTTTGAGGAGAAAGGATCCAAACACATGGAGAAGGGCAGAGAAATAAAGGAGACTGAAGACCAGAAGACAAATTTCACCTATTTTTCCCTGTTGTCTGGGGGCCCTGCAGGAGCTTCTTAGTAGGCTCTGTCCCCACCATAGGGCACGCCCTTAAGCCCAACCCTGGGGACGTCCAGATAATGTTTCCACTGTCCTGGGGTAGCAGTGGGGGGTGTAGTGGCAGTAGACTACCTCCTGAAATGCTGGGTTTGGAGGGAGGTGGGAGAGGCACGAGGACTAGGTCATGCCATTAGCTTCCCCTTGGCTCTGCCCACCTCATGAAGGGCACCACAGGTGCACTGTTGGACAGCACCAGCATTTCCTCAAAGCCTCCCAACTGAATCCCCTATTCTTACTGGTCGAATGATCCCAACAGAGAGACAACATTGGACTTTGTGGGTCTCTCTGTATCAAAGCTCCCGAAATTTAGTCTCTTACCCGAACTTCCCTTTGCCCACAAACTCATTCCTGCATCTCTGCCCTTGACAGAGAACTCTACTATTTCCAGATGGCTCCTTTGGGGTAACTAGGTGATGCTAGTCATGCTTCCAACCAGTGTGGCCAACTGAGTCATGGTGTACTTAGAAAGCTAATCTTCAATTAGTTTTCTTCCCTATTTGAGGAAATTAGTGTCTATCAATATACATAAAAAAAATTTTTTTAGCAAATCAAAGCAATTCTCTGCTAAAGGAGTCAGAGGGTTGTCAAATACATTTGGAAAACCCTGTGACCAAATGGACCAAGCCTGAAAGATCAATGTGTAAAATAACATGAAAGATTTTAGTGGTAAGGCAGCAGACAACAGTTGGACATATAAAACTTACAATTACATCAGCTGGGGTTTGAAAAACTATTGATTGCTCAGCATAAAAAGAATGTATGTACCAATAAAAACTGAGCAGGAAACTATAAAATACCAGTATGCTTACAGAAGAACAACCAACAATCAACTCAGCTTATCCACCTAAAAATAATTTTACATGGTTTGTTCAGCATCCATCTCCCTCCTTATGTTAAGGAGGTTTCCTTTGGGAAACCAGCCCTCCTCTGCCAGGCCATGCTGTAAAGATGAGACCTGCTGCTCCCTAACTGGGATCCCTCCACCATTCACTGCTGTGAATCAGAGTGGTCACAAGGACTGCCATGCACAGTTGTGAATTTGGTAGACTGAGCAAGGAGTCCAGTTGTGGGGGTGACTGTAAGCCGAAAGCCAAGGGTTCACTCACAGGCAGTTAGAACAGCTCTCCCCATTCAAAGGAAAGGGAAACATTGTGTTCACCCAAAAGCATCATCTATCCACTTTTAAGCAGCACCTTTTTCGAAATTGTCTGCCCAGAGGGGGTGCCATTTTCTTATTCATTCAAAGGCACAATATAGGACCACATTGTGATAATCATGCCTATAAATGCTGATGCAGTTGACTCTAATCAAAGAACCTGAGTGCCAAATGGCACCTGACATATCCCTTAATCCAACACTCTTCCAATAGCAGATGAAGAATCTGAAGGTCAAGGGAGTTAAACAACAACACTGCCCAACTAACTAGGAGTTGAGATCAGAATACATACAAACTTGAGTTTCACTTCAACAAATATTTATTGAACATCAAAAGTCCAGAAAATCCAACCCAGGCCTTCTGTCATTTTTCCAAACCGACTGAACTTTCCACTGTTAACAAAGACTAAAACTAGAGGAAGGTACTATTTTTTTTAAGTCGCCCTAGAATCCTGAATAAGTTTCCATGTCATCAGACCTAATATGTTCTGACATGTGACAAAACTGGGTGCAAAAATAAGATTCAGATACTCTGGAGAATACATTCTTCACTGTATTTTCTTGATGAAAACAGAATAAGACAATTAAAGACCACTACATGGCTTCTCAATCAAGTGCAGTTCAAAGTCTTTGACATTGGCAATTCTCCCGAATTGCCAGATTTCAACAGCTACTACATTTTAACACATTTAGCACATATATTGACTACATACCTTCACTACTGAGGTGATGTTACAATGGATGAGACTCTGTAATAAATAATCACAACCACAAATTAGCTGGAGGATTTGAGACATTCTCTTGAGAAGTAGTCTGTGCTAGAGAACCATAAAGTGGGCAACAGTGTGTGTCTGAGCAGTGCCCCTCGCTTGCACAGCCTGGAAATTAGGCTCCTAATTGATGGCCACCAAGCATGCACTGCAACTGGTAAACATCCGAGAGCTGCAATGATTCTATAAGAATGTGATCTTGAATAGAAGCTAATTAAGAATTCCCTTCAAAATTTAGGGATTTTCCTTCAAAACACGGTATTTCAAAGGGAGATGGTTAATTTCCATCTGGAGGAAGCGAGGTTGGCATATGTGGACCTAGAAGACAATAGCATAGAGAATAGAACGGTGAATGATAATATTAGGTAGAGGTTCTGGGCTACAAGGCGCCAGACAGAGAAACTACTGGAACCACCCAAGACAGAAAGGAAAAGAGGGACAGATAGAAGCAAGCACTAATGCAGACATAAATAGGGAAAGAAAAACAAGAACGGAGCCTGCTTAATGGAGAGACTCAGACTTGTGCCAGAACCAGGGAGTTAGATGGGGCTAGACGTGTGGTGAGGTGGGGATTTTGCAAGGTTGTGCTGCAGTGCCCAAGCCGGGCAGCATTATTTACCCATGCAGTTGACTTGGGGCTTAAATAGGACCACAGGAACACCAGGACGGCCTGTTTAGAATGGGAATAACTCCATGATTTCAAAAGTCAGGGCCTGGAGAAGAGTCAGCCAACAGTGCTTTCAAGGACTGTTAAATGCTTAACAAATGCACTCATGCCTCACAATGGGATCCACGGGTCCATCGAGCTCACTGCGCTTGCAACACCCCCCCACACAGAGTTTCTATCACATGACCTTCCTAACGCTGAAAGCTGAAAGAAATCTTACGACTTGGGAAGACAGAGAGAGCCAAAGAACTGGCCTTCTCCCACTTATAACCACAGATGTAAATTTATGAGCTGACACAAAGCCCCAAAAGATTAAAGCAGAACATGGAACCCCCAAAGAATGGGACAGTGGACATGTAAGTTCTGATGTGCAGAGAAGAAGGAAGATGTCTCTATTCCAGAAATGGTCATGAAAAGTTGTGCCCTCGCCTGTGTATCAAATACTAAGGTAAAGAGAGAGGCCACACACATCCATGTGGAATACAGAATTTCAGCCTGACCGTCTCCCAGGTACCCCTTCCCAGGCCCTAGTGACTACCCAGCCAGGGGGCCCAGTCCGCAGTGAGAGGAGATCATCCACAGAAAGAGCCCAGGCCTACCTGGATTTCATCTGGTGTATCAAGGAAGTGGCTCGGGAGAAGGTTTGGAAGCATTCCGACATTGTTGACTGACAGAAGCAAAATAAAAAGATGTCAGAAGAGCCAGTAGCAAATGTTTATTAAAAGCCTAAACATGTTTACATTCAACCCCAGAAGTTCCTTTTCTTGGGAAGTTTTCCTAAGGAAACACGTACAGAAAAAATTTATAGACAAGGCTGTTCTTTGCAACATGATTTGATAACAGTGAGGAAATTGGAAGGGAAAACAGTTGTCCTATAATAGGGAGCACATCAGGTGGACCGCCGAGCAGCCGTACGGTGGAAGGCGGCACACTTACTCAACGCTGTTGCCGCTTAGCAGTTTAAAGACACGGGGAAACATTTGTGGTGTGCCGTTTTTTTAAAAAATGTTACAAAACAGTATGTAAATTTCATCCCAGTTTTGAACATTTGTGTCTATGTGTCTGGAAGGATATACACCAAAATGTTATCTGAGGCTGTTGAGATTTTAAGAAATTTGTAAATCTTTTATGTGCTCATGTATTCTTTTTGGTTTTTCTGCAATAATGTGGGTTTACATTTTTATTAGTAAAAAATACAATTATTTTTTAAAATTCAACAGGAAGTTTAGAAATCAAATCTTCCTTCCAAGTACAATAGAGATGCTGTGCTCTGTATGAGATCATAAAATATCTTATCACAGAAAAATTATTAAATATTATTATTATTATCTTGTTTCCTGAATACCAGAGTCAATTCACAAAGAACCATGCTGACTCACTATTTCATGAATCAATCACAGCAATGTTTGTTTGCTAAACTAACTCTTTAGGATGGTGTTTCTGAGACTCCTCCTGTCTAATGTCAGTATTAGTAGGAAAAAATCCATTTTCACATTATAAATATGGTTGGGAAGGTTGAAATATCTTAGTTTCATGCATTCCAAAGCCATAAATAAATTTGCTAATCCAATATGCCTCTTGAAGAATTGAGCTGTAATATTCTGTTGAATGCTACGGCTTAAAAGACAGTCCAGACTTAAGTTCAAGTTTGCCGCAGAAAAATCAAGTGTCACTAAGATAATTACTTCACTGATGTCTTACAATCAGCTTTGCATTTTGCAATTTACTTACCTAAAATTCCAATTTCTAAGCCTTTAAGTTTTTCTCTAATATACTCATATATGTTGTCTTTGGTAAAATCTGCTTGTATAATCTTCACACTACTCCCCGTAGTGCACTCTGCATTGGAGAGAACAGTTACTCTTGAGTGAACAGGAATCCAAATCCCTCCCTTGTTTATGGACTTCTCCAATGCTCCTGTAATGTGCTAAAAGATTTGTGAGTGATGGTTTCTGGTGTTTCTAAGAGTTATGACGGTGACAAGTGTATGCACCAAAATAAATTTAATGCAGTGGTTCTCCAAGTGGGGTCCACAGACCACAGCATCAGCATCACTGGGAACTTGTTAGAAACACAAATTCTCAGGCTCCACCCCAGACCTACTGAGCCAGAAACCCTGAGACTAGAGCCCAGCAATCTGTTATTGCACGCACTCCCAGTGACCCTGCTCCATGCTCAAGTCTGAGACCCCTGGTCTCCAGGCTGTAAGAGCATAAGGTGATGTTGCCTCTGCTCAGTGTCAGGTCCCCTTGGCTTACACAGAGCAATCCTTTGTGTTTGTCTAACACTGTAGCATTCACAAAGCATTTACATACACAATATCTTATTTTAATCCTCTCTACAACCTTGTAAAGTAGATATTATACCCATTTTCAAGAGGAGAAAACTGAGGCTCAGAGGGGCTAACTTGGGCAAAGACACCCACACTCTGTTCCCTCCACATCCATGCCGCTCCGCTGTTCCATGTGGACTTGGCCTTGTGCGGGAGCTTTAGGCAGATATAAAAGCAACAAGTAGATTTCACCAAGTGCTGCCTGCTCAGATATGGGCTTAAACCCAATATTTCTGGGACAAGTGATCTTGAGGCTTAGTTTGGGGAGTGGGAGGTGCTTTCAGTCCAAAGATACTCCTTGCTTTTCAAGAGGACAATAAAAAGCACATCTTAACATTATGAGGGAGACACTGAAGAATGTCCTAGTCCTTGTCAGAGTACTTTTGATATCCAGACACGGAACAAAAGCAGAATTCATTAGTTGAAGGGCACTGAGCCTCCACTGGGCCTCCAGCCCCACACCTCCCACATCCTTCTCCTATCCCCAACTTCCCCCAGGGACACAGCACCCTTCCCTGGCAGCCTGTCCCAGTCCTCACAAGTCTTCATAACTGAAGACTCATTCCCTTGAGTTAAGGAGATGACAAATTACTAAATTAATAATTAATTATTAAAATAAATTGGGGCGCCTGGGTGGCTCAGTCGTTAAGCGTCTGCCTTCGGCTCAGGTCATGGTCCCAGGGTCCTGGGATCGAGCCCCGCATCAGGCTCCCTGCTCGGCGGGAAGCCTGCTTCTCCCTCCCCCACTCCCACTGCTTGTGTTCCCTCTCTCGCTGTGTCTCTCTCTGTCAAATAAATGAATAAAATCTTTTAAAAAATTATTAAAATAAATTACCCAAAAAGGGATATGATTATTATTAACTAAGAACACTTCACAGTGAGTCATAATACTAAAACATTGTAATGTAAGTGCTGCCTCATAGAATTGTACGGTGTACAACCTTCACAACTATACGTGGCAGCCCTGGATCAAATCTTTTTAAAAAAAAAATCTGACAGCCACCAGTAAGCATCAACCCTCACCTTCCTGCAAGAAACAGGGCATAGACATAGGGAAATGAAGTCCCAAACAGATCCTGTTTTTGAAGGGAGTAGCAGAAGCAACAAGGCAGCTGGGCCCTCTGGATGAGCAGAGCTAATTCTGGAGATGAAGACACTGGACCAAAGGAGATAGTGGACCTATGTGTGCCTGAGTCTGTTCCTACTTCACCTAGCCCAAGGAATCCCTGCCGAACTAAAGCTGCTTATGTCCTGCACTTAACTTTGTCCAGTGAGCACCCCACAGAAGGGCCAGCGCCCCAGGCGTGCTGATGGAGCCTCTACAGGTGGGACAGAGCATACTTGGTCGGTGGGCTCCACAAACATCTCCCTGATCTCTCGGGGTCACTCACCAATCTCTGCGGCAGCAGCCTGTAGTTTTTTCAGTGTCCGGCTGATAAGCACAACATTGAGTCCTTGTCTTGCTAGCTGGGAGCAGGGGACGGAAAACCAAAAAAGAGAAAGATGATAAGCAGATAGGGAAGGCTCGTTTTAAAGGTGAATTGGAGCATCACCCACTTGGTCACAGCATGGCGTGCTTGCTTCTCCTGGCTTTAAATGCGACAAAGGCTCTGGATTATGAGCGAGACAGCCGCACTGGGTGAAGCTACAGGTGACATGACAGTGGTCGTTGACTTCCGGGTTCATCATGTGCCGAGAACTATTCTAAGTGGCTTTTGTCTACAGACCCACGATCTGAATGCCCTCTCATCAGAAATGTCTGGGCTCAAGCGGTATTGGAATTCCACATTTGGGGGGTGTTATAGTACCGTTCAGATAACAAGTCTGGGCAGCTCCCCCGGTTACTAGAGGTATTTCTGCAGGAACTTTTGAGCTGCTCCCTGCAAGGGCCCTCTTGTCATGGCTCACTGTACTTGGGCACCAGTGCCCAAGGTCACGAGCCTGCGTCCTCTCTGTTCTCCGGCTCCCAGCAGGACAAAAAAATGGAATAAGGAACCGGAGGGTAAACCGAGGCCTCCCTGAGATCAGGAAGGAGCGCCTCTTCAGAGTGGGTAGTGCCTTGACGCAGGGGGCTGAGTGGCAGCGTGCGCATTAACATGGCACAGGCGAAAGGCAAACTCGCTGTGCCCGAGACTCATCACACCTAAAACTGCCACCATAAGAAAAGCTAGAGCTTTCCCTGAAGACAAAAGGAAACACCAGCATTCATTTAAATGGAGACTGACGACATTTGAGTTAGTAACCACGGGGCCCATTAAGGGAAATCTTTCTCTGTGGTTTTAATTCAGTGATTTATACTTTTATTTTTTTAAATTGTGATAAAACACATATAGCATAAAATCTGCCATCTTAACAAATATATGGACTGTTTCATGAATCTACATGTCATCCTTGTGCAGAGCCCTGCTAATCTTCTCTGTATCGTTCCAGATTTAGCATATGGGCTGCAGGAGCAAGCACTGTGCCATTATTTTAATACGGGATTATATATTACAGAAAACACATAAAAAGCTGAATCAAAGACCATAATATGTGATCTCCAATAGCCAACAACTCAATCTTCAAGCCAGTGGTTTCCAAATTACCCAGGGAGATGTCAAATTCCCACCCAAACCATCCAAATAAAAATGTCTGGGTTTGAAGCATCAGCATTTACATCTTTTTCTATTTTAATTTATTAAATGATATTATGAAATACGCAAGTAACGCCCATTGTAAAAGATGTCCCAGAGGCCCCCCAGGACTACTTCCCTTCCTGCCCCCAGGCTCCTGTGGCCTTCAGTTCAGGTGTTGACCCTTTTGCCTTTTTCTCTGCATCTACATGCATATAGAAGTACATACAGAAATAAACATTTGTTTTGTGGGGTTTCTTTTTCCTTTCACACCTCATAAATGGCATTGTAAATACTGTGTTTTTACCTTAATGGTGTGTCTTATCTCTAAATATCATATCTATCTCCGAATCAGTCCGGCTTGAGCCACTTGATCCTTTTTTATTGCTTCAGAGTGTCCCGTAGTTCACTGTTGGGTGAGCACTTAAGTTACTTTCAAGTTTTCCTATTACCAATATAGCTACAACAAACCCCTTTCTGTATAGCTCTTTGTGTATACAAGTAAATTAATTGCTAGAGCAGATGCGCAAGAAGTGGCATTGTTGTATCAAAGGGTGCTTGCTTTTTAAATTTTAACAGTGTTGCCAAAATGCCCTCCCTTAAAACCATACCACCAAAAATACAACCATAGTTATTTCTTCACACTCCGGCCAATAGTTTTATTAGCAACCTTTTCAACTTTTCCCAACCTAATGGTCAAGAAATTATATCCCTATATTGTTTTAACTTGTATTTTTCCAATTATCAGTGGGCCTGAGCACTTTTTTGTATGTTTCTGTGAGTTACCAGTGTATACACTTTGCTCTTTCTTCTACTGGGTTGTCATTTTCTTATAAATTTGTAGGTGTCTTGTGGTTTTTTTAATATATTCTGGGTATTCATTAGTTGCCTACTATATATTTAGCAAGTATTTTCTCTCTTCTTTTTGGCCACCTTGACTATACATTATATATTAATTTTCATGTTATCAAGTTTGTAGATATTTACTATGGCTTCTTAAAAATTTCTGTTATGAACTTCCCTAACTCTAAGGATATGAATATATTTTCCTATAACCCTTTACAGTGTTTTTATCTTTCTTGTTTCTTTTTTAGAATAATGTGAGCATGAAATCACCCAGCATTATTTTTTTCAAAATGGGTGGCAATTTTCCTGACAACATTTTTCTATTTTTCCATTCCTTCTTGATTTAAAATGCTAACTTAGTCATATGCCACATTCTTATAGGTACATGGGTCTATTTCTGATCTACCTGGTCTGTTTCACTGACTTACTGGCCAATTTCTGTGCCAGTGCCACTTGTGATTTAATCACAATCTTATAAGAGGCTTTGATATTTGATACGTGGAACTGGAGGTTCCTACCATTTATTATTCTCTTTCAAAATGTGTTTATCTTCTGAGTTTAACTTTCCAAATAAATGATAAAATTGCCTAGTCAAGTAGTATAGAGGAATTAGAGATATGTAGGAGAAATAATATTTTACAATCTTATGATTTTTGCAGGAATCAGTTATCTCATCCATAAATTTGGTATCCATTTATCCCAATCTCATGTGTTCTTCTAAAAACTTTTAGAAGCTTCTTCATGTAAATCTTGGATATTTCTTGTTAGTTTGCATTAGTTAGCATAACATTAGCTCACATCGCAAAGAAGTCCAAAATTTCAGTGGTTTCACACAATGAATTTGTTGGTTGTCTTATATAGTAAATTCTATTTCACATAGTCATTCAGGTCCCATGGCTGAGAAAGTCTTTGTCATCTTCAACAGTGGGTTTCTAAGACTGTTTTCGGTGTTCACAGCCAGCCAGTGCAAAGATTAAAAGAAGATAGAGAAGATACATCCCCTCCTTTAACCACCTTGACCAAGAAGGGACACACATCATTTCTGCTTGATTTCATTGGCCAGTTTAGTCACATGGCCCCACAGAGATGGAAGGGAGTCTGGGAAATGCGCCGGCTGGGCAGCCACTTCGAGCTACAACTCTCCACCGTGGAAAAAAAGAGTAGGGATCTGGGAGGACATTTAGCTGTTCCTGCCACCAATACCTTACATTTATTTGTTGTCATCATGAATTAAGTTATTATGGAAAGCAGAAGAAACTCTAGGTTGAAATACCTCGTTTCAATTCCTGTTTCCATCACTTAAACCTGTGTGCACAAGTTACTCAAACCAGACTTTCCTCATTGGCAAATTGAGGAGGCTGATAGACATACTTCATTAAATTGTTCTGAGAATCAAATGAAAAAACACACTAGAAGTGCATGGTGCAGAGCCTATCACATAACAAGCACCCAATAGTGTCAGTATTTGTTCTATATATCCTACTCTGCTACTCTTTGTGATTAGGAACTCTGCCCAGCCACCGAGCCAAATGAATTCTTTTATTCATTGTAATAGTTTCTTCATCAATGCTTGGTTTTCCATCTTAGACAATGATATTCTCTACAAGGTACAGTTTTGTCCCTTCCTCTCCAATATTTGCATACTTTTGGCCTCTTTATCTTGGCTAATATCTCCTGCACCCTGTTAAGTTTATATATGGTCTGTTCTCTACCATACTGAGAACATTTGTAATGTTTCTCAATACAAAGTATGAGGTTTCCTGTTATTTCTGGAAGTTATTTTTTTATCAACTTGAGAACATTTTCATCTATTCCTTTCTGCCAAATCACTACTTTTTTAAATGGCTGGATTCTGTTTGCTAATACTTAACTTGGATCCCAATTCTCTTATGCTATCTTTGTCCCATTTTGATATCAGAATCATGCTAATCTGTCTACACAATTCCTGAAACATGTAGGGTCACCTACTTGTCCCAGCATTTTCCCAGTTTTAAAACTCAAAGTCCCACATCCCAGGATCTGCCCCAGTCCCAGGCAAATCAAACTGGTTGGTCATCCTGGAAATGTTTTGGTTTTTTTTTTCTTATTCCTTGAAGATTTAATAATATTTCTTGTAAAAATATCTGGGTTTCTTATTTAGGTATAGCTATTCATAACTGCCTCTTCCATCTCAGGCATGACTTGAACCAACTTTGATCATTTATGTTTCCATAGAAAATCATATCTTTCATCTAGATTTTTAAATTATTAACACAAAGATTTAAATAGTCTTTTCTTCCTCCTCTCCTTTTTTTTTTTAAATCTCCTTGTCTGTAGCTAGGATCCTAATGTTGTTCCTTTTCTTTTTTTCTTTTTCTTGAGTTTTTGAAAGATTTCTTCCCTTTTCTGTTACTTTTTTTTAAGAACAGTTTTGAATGATCAATCATTTCTGTGTCACCTCTGTCACCCATTTTTGTTCTTCTCTTTATTAATTTCCACCTTCTGTCTCTTTTGGATTTATTTTGTTGTTCCCTTTCTCAAATTTCTTGAAAACTAAGACTACTTAGAGTCTTCCTTATTTTCTAAAAGAGGCATTTAAAGCCAAAAATCTTCATCGGCACAGCACTTAGACCATAAATCACAGGAGTGTTCGTTTTTATTTTTTCTTTAATATTGGAGCAACACCAAAGTATAACTTTTTAATATAGATGAGAGGGTGGATATCATTTTCTAAGATCACTTTTAATTTTATTGCAAAGTAGTCAGTAAACACATGGTATGTTTTTTGCTATTTGTAACTTATCACAATTTTCTTTTTAGCACAATAAGTGGACTTTTATGAACATTCCACGTGTATCCTTAAGGAATGTGTATTTGCTCTTTGTTGGCTAGGTTTTATATATTTTTGTCTCTTAAATTAAAGTTGAGGTTTACCAAATGGCTTACCAACTACTGGTTAAACTGGTATGAGAGGGTATTCAAATTCCTTATAACCTTGATTATTTTTATTTATGTAATAAGATGTTAAAT